GGGATCTGCCGGCCTCGGCCTCCCAAAGTGCTGAGATTACAGGCATGAGCCACTGCGCCCGGCCAGTAGATACAACTATTTTTAACCTCACTCATTCTACAGATGAGAAAACTGGCTCAGCTCAGCATTGCCCAATGATGGAGGCAGGATTCAAAGAGGCAGAAGCCACACTGGGAGCCATTCACCACGTCTGCAGGAGAAGGGCCTCCCCAGGGCTCCCTGGGCGCAGCAAGAGGCTTTTTGATCCAGACACTGGGCCCAAGGAATCTGAAGGGACAAGCCCTGCTGTCCCCTCTCTCCCTTCCCCCTGGGATGCTGAGCATCCCTGCTCAACGCTGCTCATTGGCTCTGTCTCCTACCCAGCACATGGACACAGGGGTGGGACACCTAGGGGAGGGGGCACCCAGGCTGTCTCGGCAACCAGCTTGTTTTCCTTTCCATTACAGGCAGTGGGCCGCAGCCGCCAGTTGCTGCTGGCCCATTTGTTGCTATTGGCATCCCAAGGCCCCAAATTATGATGACTAATTCCCACCGCTTTAGGCAGCTCCAGGGCTGTCTGCGGCAACATGCTCCAGGGGGAGCGGGGTAGAAACCCCGCAGGGATCACACCCGACATCAATTCCAACTCAGCCTCCTGCCTCCCAGAGGGGCTGGGAGTCGGGAAGGACAGGGAGGGGGCTCCAGCCAGTCAGAGGACCCCTTCAACCACAGCCTCATCCTAGGAAAACCAGCTATAAGGAGACCAATGTCTTCATCAGCATAAAACATAACTAACAACCAGCTTGTGTTGAGCAGTGGTGAGCTCTCCATCTTCAAGGGTATGCAAGCAGAGACCAGATGGCCTTGTGGGCAGAGGACAGTCCTAGATGACTTTTTGTGTGTCTTCAAGTCAAATGCAATGACTCCCATTAGTCCTTTGGACGGACGACAAGCCCATTCTCCCCTCCTTGTTAGCTTATGGCCCGACTGTGTGTCCTGTGGTACAAAGTCAAATGCGGACCAATATGCAGGTTAACACTTCATTTTAAAGTCAGCCATTTAGGCACTGTTTAAACAGAGAATCGCTGTAAAGAATTTGGCCTCCTTCCCAGCCTCCTTTCCCTTGTAGAACAAGGTTCCTGGCCCCTATGCTGGCCTTCCAGTAGAGGACAGGAGGGAGAGGCAGTTGATAAATATTTGCCGAACAAATGCATGAAGCGAGGGCGGAGTGTGTGTGGGGGGGAGGCTCGGGGGTGGGATTTGCCAGGCAGGTGTCAGGCTGCCAGCAGGATGTAGCCTCTGGGTGGCGGTCCTGACTCTGTTCCTCCCAGACGGGCCATTTTCTGCAACCAGTGGAAGCACCAAGCTATATTCCTCATCTAACCACTGCCAGAATGTTCCGGACTCCCCAGCTGAAGCCAAGGGGTGCAAAGGGTGGGGAAAGAGGGGCACGAGAGAGCAGGGACACCCCCATTCCACTCGTGAGTGGGGCTTTTGACAGCTGAGCCCCAGGCAAGCACGACACTCGGCCTCCTGGTAATTAGCAAAAGGCCCTGATCAATAAGTTATTTTTTGCTGTCAGTAATTAATAATTACAGCTTAGCCACACCATGTAATTAAACTTTCATCCCGCTCCCTCGTGTACTGTTGGCTTTTATTGTGATTAGCTCCCAGCACTAAACTTTCTCCCTTTGGAGCCTTTCAGGAGCCTCTAGAGCTGGGGGTTCCAGTCCCCTTTCAGGGTTTTCCCCACTGCCTTGTTCACTGGGCTCAGATTCCCTTCCTTCTGTTCTTCCCCCAGGCATGATTCTCTTGAAAGAAACTTCTGGACCAGCTGGCTTGGCTGCTCCCGCCCTCCCCCCAACCTCTCAGGCTGGCCAAGATGACCTCCAGCAGTAATCAAGCTTCCAAGCACATGGGAAATCTCTCGAGGCCCTTGTTAAAAGACTTCCAGGCTCACCCAGACCTTTCCAATCAGCGTCTGGGAGTAGAGCCCACGAATCTGCTTTGCTATGACTCCCTGGGAGCTAAGTGCTTGAGGGCCACTCTTTGAGACACAGTGATGTAGCCATGGAAGGAATTTAAAGAAACCTCCTGGGTAAGGAAAAATAATTCAAGGTCGTATTGGTGGGTGGCAGGATGCCATTCTTCATGGACTCCTAGCTTAGTGTTAAAACCATCATAACAACAATAATAATTGCCATGTATTAAGTACCTTCTATGTACCAGGCACCGGCTGGGGCCCTGTCCCTGGAATACCTTGAATTCTCCTAGCAATTCTATGAGGCAAGAGCTATTATTGCCAGTGTACAGATGAGGAAACTGAGGCTCTTAGTGGCTAAGAGCCTTGCAGAAGGCCTGTCTGCAGCGAAGTGGCAAAGCCAGATCATGAGAGCCCGTTCTTTCTGCTGCTCTTTCTACAACCTCACTGCACTTTGCTTGGGAAATGAGTTTGAATCATGTGACCCATTGGGCATAGGGACAATGGTCAAATGTTAGCTTTCAGTATACCCAGGTGATGTCGTTCAGGTCCAGCACCTAAAAAAAACAACCAGGCTCAGATGAAATCTGGTGACAGTGGTCGATGTGAAGTTTGTCTCAAGGGAGGAACAATTGTTTGATCCCTTGTTCTGTGCCATGCCTGGAGAATCAGGCTTGGGGGCTCAGAAATGACAGTGCTAGTGGCTTCAGCTACCCCCGAAGGATTAATGTCATGGTCTGAGACTGAAAGAAACTCACTCTCTAGCCCCAAAGCAAATAAGAAAGGACCCCATGCCCTAATCCCACCCCCTCCAACACCCAAACCCAGCACTGCCAAGCCTAGGACTGCGTTCCCACAATCCTCTGCAAGGCTTGTCACGGGGGACACACATGGCAGGAGGGGGTTCGATGCTGGAAGACACTCTGGGAACCAGAGAACACGAGCGGAGCAGCAGGAGACCTGGGCAGCCTGACACACAAAAAGCAGCAAACAAGAAAAGCAGACAGAAAGTGAATCAATCACAGAGACTTTCTCTGCTTCTGACAGGGGAGCCCCTCCCGCAGGAGGCGCAGGGACACGGGCCACCTGGCCTTAACTTTAGCAGGAGGGGTGGGATCTCAGCCTCAAGTGGATGGCACAGGTGTGGAGGTGCAGCAGGAAAGGACACATGAAGACCCCAAAGCAAGGGCCATCAGGTGCCCTGGGGACTCCATAAGGGCCTGGTCCTAGATGAGACACGAATTGGCGAGCCACCTGCCCTGGGAAATCATACCATTGTTGAAAAGTCTATAGAGCAATGAAGTTAGAAGGGTCCAGACAGATGCTGGCATCCCCTCCCTCCACGCCGTTCAGGCTTTTGGCTAGTAACACTGGTTATTGCAGAGCACAACTGTGAGGCTGCTCCAGGATGAAGGACAAGCCATTCCTATTTCACCAGCATCAGGGTCCTTCTGGGACCCGGCAAAGAGGGGGCCCAGACAAGAAGCCTCCACGCAGCCGGTCCTGGTTTGAAGGAGAGGGGCTCAGAACTCACCTGGTTCCATACCTGCCTCTGCCCCCAGATCACAGAGTGGCCTTGAGCAAGTCACTTAATGCCATTTGGCCTCAGTTTCCCTATCTGTTAAACGGCTACTAAAATAAGGTGACCTCTGAGGTCCTCGCTTGTTCAAAGATTTTATGATCATAAAAATAATAACTTTTATTACCCTACATTTATAGAGCACATTACAAAATTTCTAAGTGCTTTTACGTAAATTACCTCGTAAAATCCTCCCCTCAGCCCTGTGAGTGAGAACTGATTATTTTCATCTCTTTGATCTTGGCTCTCTGGATTGCCTGATGCTGGGCGCACGGGGTCCCTTCTTCCCAGAAGGTTTGGAGATCCAAGAGGCGGCGTGGGGAGTGGGTTGCAGCCCCCACAGTCTGGCCCCCTAGGGTGGGTCTGGCCCCCTCCTGAACCTGCGAGAGTGAAGGCCTAGCCCTGCGAGTCCTAGAGCTCAGTCCAGGCTTCGTCTCCCTCCGCCCCCAGCAGGCGCCGCTCGGACACCGCTGACACCACTGTCTGGATCGGCGAACCCCAGAGGCGAGGAACCGCCGGTGCAGCCGCCCTTCACCGCGGGGACCTGCCCGGGGACCAGGGGGACGTCTGGGCATCCACCCTTAGGAAGCGGGCAGCGCAGATCACACCTCAGATCCTTCGTAGCACTCCCAACCCCAAAGCCACTAGCCCTTCTCCACCGCGAGGCTGCTCCCGGCAGCCACAGGTCACAGCAGCGAGTGGCTGCACAGACGATCGAGCGAACAGCGGAGGCTGGAGGCAGGGGCGGGGATGCGGGGTGTGGGTGGACGGGTGGGAGGGGAGGCCTCAGACCCTCCCTGTGCACCACCCCACGGTGGGTCCGCGGCTGCACCCGCGACCTCGGCTCCAGGCTCGCGCAGCGAAGCACCCCCAGCCCCAGCGGCCGGCCGGGCAGCCGGGGCGGGCTCCCGTACGTGGCCAAGCTGGGCAATTGCTCTCTCGGGGCGAGCAACCCGGCACCCAGCGCCCGATCGCACTCCTTCCCAGCGCCCGCCCACGCCACTCCCTCGCCCCGGGGAGGCCATCGCCTGCCCGGCAGGGGCCCTGCCCTTCCCCGCAGACACCGAGCAGGCCACCAGGAGCCCGGTCTGGGAAGCTCAGTGTAGCCGAGCCTGGAGCCCGGCACGGAATGTCGCTCCCCTCCCAAGCTGGCGCAGGGCAGCCACAGCAGACAGGGGGAGGGGAGCGCCCCTCCCACCTCACCTTGGGCTCTTCTCTGCTTCCCCAGGTCTTCCCCACCTTCCCCCACTCGGAAGCCACAAGTCTCGGAGAGGCTGCCCCACCCCCAAAAGAGCCCCCAAAACTCGGGAGATGGGGTGTCTTGAAACTCCCTGGAGAGGCTCTACCACGGCTAAGCCGGGTGTCCTGGAGGCCACCGTGAGGCCGGCGAGCTCCCGCCGCCCCTCCCCCGCCCACTCTCCCAGCCCCCCTCCGCGTCCCCACGTGGGGGTCCCTCCTTACCTTGGGCTCTGGCCGCGCGGATCTGATGCAGAGTCAGCAGCGTCCAGATCAAAAACCCCCACATGGTGACCAGCCTGGAGGGGGGTCCTCGGGGTCTCCCTTCCCTCCGCCCTGTTTTATAATCCTGGTGGGGTCCGGTACCCCGTGACTTCGTCCCGGGAGACAGTCAGTCTACGCGGCTCTGTGCCCCAGGCGTAATATGCCCGAGAGGGGCAGCGCTGGCCACCCCAACCCTTCCTCCTCTTCTGTACTAGTCCGAGTCCGGCAGCGCGCCCGGAAGGCGAGGGGCGAGCAGGGAGAAAGAGGCCAAGCCGCCCTCTCGGACTAGGGCGCCTCTCTGCCTTAGCACCTCAACTCCGACTTCTCCCAAGCAGGGCGGCCTCTGCGATCCGGCCGGATCGCCGGCCGAGCTCAGGAATAAATGGACAACTTCAGGAAACTTCCTCCGGTGGCCACGTTGCCCGCCCCCCGCCCCCTCCCCGCCCCCTGGTTGGGTTCTCCCGGCCGACACAGTCACCGCCGTTCCAGGCGCCTGGCCCCCAGGACCCGGCCAGAGCCGAGCGCAGCGGCAGACGCGGGTGCGGGGGTTCTTTTAGGGGCGCCGGTTTCGGGGGGCGCGGTGAGCATAGCGGTCCGAATCTCCCTGGAGCTGAAGTTTTCTTCTCTCTAACTTTGCAGGCAGCATCTGGCGGGGCCGAGCCACCCCCCTCTGGGCTCCACCGCCCTCGCGCCGAATCCGGAGACTCCGGGTCTCCTCCAGGGGCGTCGGGGCTGGGCGCGCCCTCGGCTCAGCGCCCAGCCGGCTAGCAAACTTTGCGGGTCCCGGAGCCGGGCGCGCAGCCCTGAGCGCTCATGTCCGCGCCAGCCGCGGGGCGACGAGGGCGGGTGCTGGGCTCCGCGACGCGGGCTGTCGCCGGCTCCCGGGCGCGGAGCCTCCTGCCGGCCCGAGGATGGAGACCGGCGGCTCTGCCCTCCGCCGCGCCCCGGCCGGAGCTCTCGGGGAGACGCACCGAGAGCCCGGCGGGCAGCCCCGGCTCCGGGGACGCGGCGCCCCCTCGGACGCCCGGCGATAGCCGACCTCCCGGGTCGGAGGAGCAGCGGCCGCGCCAGCGCCTCGGCCGCCGCTGCCGCTCGCCGAGCCCGCCGCCCTACGCTTCCCGGGCTCGGCGTCCAGAGAGCCGCTCCTGCCTGCGCCGAGCGGGAGCTGCGGGGGCAGCGTGAGCCGGGGACGAGCGCGGCGGAGGCGGAGACGCGGAGAGGGGGGCCGAGCGCTACCCCGTGGCCGCGACTGGAGAGCAGCCTGCGCGCCGGGAGGGGCGGCGGCGGCGGCGGCGGCCGCGGCCGCCCCGAGCCAGGCCCGGGAGCGAGCCCCGTAGAAATATAATCCAACCGCGCGGCCGCGGGCGCCCAGCGGCTCTGGGACCCGCCGGGGGGCAGCAGTGCCAACCTCGCGCCTTGCCGGGAGAGATGCGCGCGAGCCCCTCCGCTCTCTGCCCAGCCTTTCCTTCCAGCCTCGCTCGCACCCCTCTCTCAAAGGCCTCACAGGACTCCCAGAGTCTGCTATAGCCAGGAGCCCCCAGCCCGCTTCCGGACATGGAGTGATTGGTTGGGGGGCGGCGGTTGATTCCAGTTTCTCCTTCCCAAGTCAGGCTCTCCAACGTCTGGAAATGCTCAGGGCGGAGAGGGAGACGTCGGGAGGCCTGGGACGTGCAGAAGCCTGAGAAAGTGAAGTTGGTGCCAAGGAGCGTGCGTTCTTTGTTTCTTCTTTTTCCCTTCGGAGCCCGGCTTGTAAAGAGTAGAACGGGACACTGGTGGAGGAATTCAAACAAGAGATCCCGGAGGCGTCCTCTGCTGTGGCACAGAGCTAGCGCGTACTCCAAGAAGCTCAGCTGGGGCTCACAGGCTTCAGTTAAAATTTCCTGGGCGCTAGGAAAATTTAAGGTGCCTTCGCCTTGGTGGAGTCCTTTCCCTGCTAACAAAATTATTAAAAATAATATTTTGCAACTGTGTTGGCATAAAGAAAAGTATATTAATATTGTATATTAAAACATGTTCTTCAACCTAAAGCTTTACTTATTTTTTCTGATTTTAAAATAAATTAAAACATTTTCATGGGCCCCCAAAAGGCTATGGTCCCTGGCACTGGGCCTGCGGTGCTTAACGGAGAGGTCGACCCTGCGTGTCTGATCTTTCTTACAGGAAATAGCTAGTGAGACACTCCACCTTTTGCCACGGTGCTTCTCTGTACTCTCTCTCTGTGGTCCTGCTTAGTCTGGCCCTCCACCGCTGCCTAGCCTTTCTGCTCATTGACGTCTAGGACTGTCACTCACTGATTGCCAACTCTTTCCCGGGCTCACTTCCACCCCAAGGAGACCCCTTCTGATTGCTGTGGAATAGGCATAGCCACCGCAAATACATTGTTACTTATACTCCTTTCACCTGCTTTGGAAGAAGACCCATGAGCATTTATTAAAAATGCCTGAGAAGCTGGCTTGCCTTCCCTACAGCCTTTCAATCACCTAATTCAAACAACATTTCCCCCTGGCAACCTGCTCCATCCCCAGCTGAAGCCCCTCTGGCTGACTGATTTGTAAATGGGAGGGCTTCGGGGGCAGGCAGCCTAGATGTGACCAGCTCTCCTTCCCCTTGGTGGCCATGCCACTCCCACCTGCTTAATGATGCCCAGATGTGACAGTACACAGCCCCTACATGCTCTGAATGTCCCCAGCTGCGAGCTCAGGCTCTTCCCAGTCTGTCAGGAAGAGCTCTGGTCTTTAGGGTGCTGTTTCACCGTTCGCTCACAGAGGGGGCCTGAGAGCTGTATTTGCGGGGAACCTCTCCTTCTCTCTCTTAGGCCAGATAGCAGAAAGGGCGGCATCTCTGTTTACATCACAGAGGGTAGGAGTTTGTGTGGACACAAAAGTCTGAAACCTGGGTGGATTCCACCCTGATCATGCCCAATTTCCAGAAGGCCAGCAGCCAGGAATGTGAGCTCCACGTGCCTAGGGCCTCGAACAGCATCCTTCCCTTATTAAGAGGAGACCTCTTGCACAACCTTTTGGAGCCCTACAAACCTTCTGCGGAGAGTTTAATCCCTAACACGTGGGACGGGGGCCCGCCAGAGACCGGTGTGAGGAAGGAGATTTCCTTTTCTTTGTTGAAAGTCTCCAGGCATGCCTGCGAGTCAGAGAGGAAAGGACGCCACTCCACCTGCAACTCCTACAGCAAATTTCTGTCTCCATCCGTCTAGGATGAAGAAGAAGATTTGAGCTCTTTTTGGCCTCAACCCATACACATACACACACAGGAAGGAACTCTCTGATTTCGCTTCTTGCCAGAGTTTTGCTGGCCCAGGAGAAGGCTGAGCTGGGAGTCTGCCACTTTGAGAGGGGCTCGTTACTGGGAAAGTCACTTGCAGACACCATGAGCTCATTCTTGCCACCAGCGGTATAATTAGAGGTTGCATTGGTGCAGTTACAGTGGGCGCCACGTCAGGAGGGCTGCGAGGATTTCCCAGGCTCTACGCTGTTTCCTTGCTGCAAGCCTGCCCCTTCCCGTTGGGGCCCACACAGACAGCTCACCCGGAACACTCGGGATGGAACCTGGGTCTTCCTCATCTATATCTCATTTCCCTCATCCCCAGGGCCCGCACCTTGTTGAAGACCCTCCTCTCCATACCTTTGGCTCTGTAAGTTCGAAGGGAGGGGACGGAAGCAGAGAGCATCACAACACATTTCCAAAAAGAAGGAAAAGCCCAGATCGTTCTACTCTGTCTCCTTCTCCCTTCCAAGTGGATGTGATTTTCAAATGTTACCCTTCTAGGAAAACACTCACTGAACCCCATATAGGGCCCTTTTCCTAGCCTTTCATCCCACACATAGTCAACGAAAGGGTATCCCTGCAGAATCCTGTGAGGGAGGCTTCGGAGTGGGAGGAGCATTACCCCCATGTCCCAGCCAAGGAGCACGAAGGCGAAACCCAGGACAGTCAGATGCAGCTGCTCAGCCACAGAAGGCCAAGATCCCCCTTAGTCTGCTGTCCCTCCACATCAAACTCCATTTCCCACACAGAAACCAAAGGCTGGGCAGGGATAGTGTCAGTTTTTCAATATGGTTATTGTCTTTTTTTTTTTTTTCCATTTTCAATCTCAAATGTAACAGCAGCTAGAACAGAGTGTGCAATTGCAGGGTGATTGTATCCTCTGGCAGCCCCAGATATGTGTCAGGGACTGGCAGGGACCAGCCAGGAGGCAGTGACAGTGATACTGGGGAGGCAGTGGCATGTGCTTTTGCTCCCTCCCCAGACCCCGTACCCACTCCCTCATCCCAAGTTCTCTGCTTCCCAAGTAGCTGGGGGCTGCCCTCAGCCAAGAAATGCACTCTGGTGGCGATTTTGCCCAGGGAAAAGAAGGCGGAAGGAGTGAGTGCAAGGGTTGGACACAACTCAGTGTAGAAGAAAAATGAATGAGGCCAGAAGAGGAGGCAGAGTGGAGGTGGCCTTTAAACTATGGGGCTGCAGAGCAAAATCACTCATTCGTGCTTCCCAACTATGCTGTTCCCAGCATCTCATTCCTCAGAGTGAGGCTGCTCTCAGGGTTGCTGTAGGTGGGGCTGGGCCAGGGTCCCCCAGAGTAGAGACTTCCAGCAAAGCCATCTATACTACCTGCAGGGAACTGAGATACCGCACTGCCTTGAAACAAGGACTTCCAGTAAATACCTCATGGCATTCATTTTTCACTTTTGTTCTGTGTTGAAGATGGAGAAAGGAAAGTATTGGAAGAGGTAGAAGTGGTTTATTCATCTCAATCAGAGAGAGAGAAGCCCTGAGTCCCTGTCTCAGCTCCAGCTGACATAACAAATACCATAGACTGGGCAATGTAAGCAACAGGCATTTTGGTTTGTCAACTTTTTGTTTTTATTCTGGAAAACATTTTCAGCATGCATACTAGTAGAGTGTCTAGCATAGAATTCTGCTGTTCAGTATGATAACCACCAGCCGTGTGTGAGACAGAGCACTTCCGATGGGGCTACTGACACACATTGAAATGATTATAGTTCGGAACTATTAAGTTAAATAAAGATAATTTTAAAAATGGATTTGCCTATTTCTTTTTACCTTGTAAAATGTGACTACTGGCAAATTTGAAATGACATATATGGTTCGCATGACATATTTTTGGACAGTGTTGGCGTAGACCCCCCTACTTATCTATGCCCACTTCAATAGTCATCAGCTTGCGGCTCTTCTTGTTTCATTTACACCTTATGCACTTAATTTTTTGTTTCTGATTTGATGCCATCTTTATCGATGTACAGAGCTAAATTTTGTTGACAACAGGCATTTATTTCTCACAGTTCTGGAGATTGGGAAGACCAAGATCAAGCTGCTGGCTGATTCAGTTCTTGGTGAAGGCTCCTCTCTTCCTGGTTTGTAGACAGCCACCTTCTTGCTGTGTGCTGTGT